AAATAAATAAAATCATTAAAAAAAGAAAAAAACAGATAAAAACCATAGCCTACTGTAATGAGTCTAGTTTTCCATAACAAATTTCTTTTTTTAAACTTATTTTTATTGTTCACAATATTAGAGATGTCCCCATTCTCCCCTCCCCCACCCCCAGCCTCTACCAATTCTACCCAGCTCTCATTTCCCCTTTCCAGTGTTGAGTTGTATAAGTTCTTTATGTATTTTGGAAATTAACCCCTTAGCAGATATATCATTGGCAAATATGTTCTCCCATGCAGTGGGTTTCCTTTTCATTTTGTTGATTGTTTCTTTTGTTGTGCAGAAGCTTTTTAGTTCAATATAGTCCCATTTGCTTATTTTTTTCCTTTGTTTCCCTTGCCCTAGGAGATATATCAGCAAAACATTGCTATGAAAGATGTCTGAGATCTTACTGCCTATGTTTACTTCTAAGATTTTTATGGTTTCACAAACCATCTTTTACCCGTTTTGGGTTTATCCTTGTTGTGTGGTGTATGTTGGTGGTCTAGTTTCATTTTCTTGCATATACCTGTCCAATTTTCTCAATACCATCTATTGAAGAGATTGTCTTTACTCCATTGCATGTTCATGCCTCCTTTGTCAAATTTTAATAGACCATAAAGGTATGGGTTTATTTCTGGCCTCTCTGTTCTGTCCATTGATCTATATACCTGTTCTTAATGTTAGTACCAGGCTATTCTGATTATAACGGCCTTGTATAATGGCTTAATATCAGGTGTCCTGATAAATCCAAATTTGTTCTTGTTTCTCAAGATTGCTGAGGCTATTCAGGGTCTTCTTCTGGTTCCATATATTTTTTTGGAGTATTTGTTCTAGAACTGTGAAATATGTCATTAGTATTTTAATAGGAATTGCATTGAATCCATAGATTGCTTTGGGTACTACAGACATTTTCATGATGTTAATTCTTCCAATCCATAAACACATTATATGCTTCCACTTATTTCTATCTTTCAGTTTCTTTCTTCAATGTCCTATTGTTTTCCAAGTACATGTATTTTACCTCCTTGGTTAAATTTATTTCTAGGTACCTTTTTATTGTTGTTGCAATAGTAAATGGGATTGTTTTCCTAGTTTTTATTTCTGATAGTTCATTATTGGTGTATATAAACATCACCAATTTCTGAATAGTAATTTTGTATCCTGCTATTTTTCCAAATTCATTTATTAGACCTAGTAATTTTTTGGTGGAGTCTTTAGGGTTTTTTATGTATAACATGTCATTTGCAAATAATGACAGTTTTACTCCTTCTTTTCCATTTTGGATGCCTTTTATTTCTTCTTCTTGTCAGATTGCTGTGGCTAGGCCTTCCAGTACCATGTTGAATGAGTGGTGAAAATGGACATCCTGTCTTGTTCCTGATCTCAAGGGAAACACTTTTAATTTTTGCTCATTATGATGTTGGCTGTAGGTTTGTCCTATAAGGCCTTTCTTATGTTGAAGTATAATCCTTCTATTCCAATTTTGCTGAGTTTCTATCACAAATGGGTACTGGATTTTATCAAATGCTTTTTTTCTGTATCTATTGATATGATTATGTGATTTTTATGTTTTATTTTTGTTATGTGCTGTATCACATTTATTGATTTATGAATGTTGTACGAACATTGCAACCCCAGAATAAATCCCAATTGATCTTAGTGTATGATCTTTTTAATGTACAAGTATTGCTGGATCTGGTTTGCTAATGTTTTGTTGAGCATTTTAGCATTCTATGTTCATCAGGTATATTGGCCTATAATTTTCTTTCTTTGTAGTGTCTTTATCTGGTTTTGGAACTAGAACAATGCTGAGCCTCATAAAAAGAGCTTGGAAGTCTTCCCACCTCTTGAATTTTTTAAATAGTTTGAGGATAGGTATTAGTTCTTCTTTGAATGTTTGGTAAAATTCACCTGTGAATTTTTATTATTTTTATAACCAGAAAACAATAAAGCTACTCTTGTATTTTAAAATTAGAACTTTTGACATTCACAAATGAAAAATTATAGTTTTTAAAACATTAATGGAGATATGAAAAAGATTATATTCAGCACCACTCAAAAAACTGGAAGTACAGAATACAGAAAACAAAAATAAAGGGAAATGCTAAGAACTTGAGTAGCAATCTAATTTCCTTCATGTGTTGCTTCAGACTTTCTCAAGGGGAAGAGTATATTTCCTAACAACTTAGATGTTCTTTTATCAGTCTTGGCATGCAGTAGGTCAATAAATATTTGCTGATGAATAAATTGAATATTAAATAAGTTGCCTAATTATTTACTTTTATACTGAAGACATTCTCCCAAGAATTTAACCACCATTCCAATCCCATTCACCAAAAGTAGCCACATGAACAGTTTGGTGAATCTCTCTGTACACAAACATATATGAAAGAAAGATGGGGGAAAGAGAAAGAGAGACAAGAGGAAGGAGGAGGATGGGTAGAGGGAGGAGGAGGAAGGAGAGAAGAGGGGAAAGAGATGTCATACTATGACTATTTATATTTTAAAATACAGTGGATAGCCTACTATAGTTCTGCCTAATTCATTCTTTTTTAATAACTGCACAAACTGAACAACTTTCCAAATGTTATCAGCAACCAACACATTAACTGAAAGAAAATAATAATAGTAACGACTAACATTTATTGAGCATTTTTTCCATATGCTTTATTTATATACTATACATTAAAATTGCATAACTTTATAGGTAAGTACTATTACTTATTGCCCTCTTACAGATAAAGAAATTGGAATCTATTACTTGCCCAAGATTATAATGACTTGCCCAATTTAGACAGTAAGTGGCAGGCCAGGATTTGAAGGCAGCAGTCTGTCCTCCAAGCCTGTGTTCTTAATCACTATTGCCTCTGTAATGTTAAAAACATTAAAGATAAATTCTTACTTGACAATGAATGACTGTTGGTATATACCAGATGTAAACATAGAACACAATGTTTTGAGGGTTTTTTTTTTTAACTATACCAGAACCTTCTATATTTAGTGGTACTTTCAAAGTAACCATATCAAGAGATTTTATGTTCAGTTTACAGTCTGCCATTAGTCAAAAGTATTTGAATTGTAAAAATCATATTAATTTCCTTCACATATATTTCACAAGCTGAACAGGAAAAGCAATCTAAGTACCTTACTGTTACCTTTTTTTGTGGCCCAAAGCAGCTTTTTTTAGGGTTTACTATCCATTTATTCATTAGACTTGTGACTAAATGATTTATGGTTAAAAAAAAAAACTACATCCAGTCACACACACAAGAAAAACCTAAGCCATATTTTTAAAATATATGACTCAGACTCTAAACCCAGATGTAAGTTTTTTGAATAATGGCAGAATCTTTGGAATAAATGTTTCATCTCTCAAGGTAACTATTCTGAAGAAGATAAAATTCAATTGCCTGTTTAAGGTCAGTCTGATAAAAGTTAGGTGCCATACTTAACAGCTTTATTTCATTTACTAATCCAGCAACCAGTTCATGTCAACCATCAGCGTAATAACAACTGATGTCCATATTGACTATTCTGTGCCAAGCCAGTGATTTGATATCTAATATTCTAAGCACTGCATGAAGATTCAAAATAGTGTTGCTGAGCCAAATGGAGCATAAATTGTTTTTACAATTTAGCCAATTTCCTAATTTACTATTTAACATGAAGTGATTCTGCTCTAGCTGATAGTAACAGCAGGGACAAAAAATGGCAGCTTGAGGAGAAGCTTTACCTTTTATTTAATCTTATTAGTTTAAATAAGAGATAACAGTAAAAACAGTGCACATATGCACATACAAGTATATTCAATATCACCAAAGCACCAGCATCACCACTATTTTGAAGTGATGCCAAATAACATTAAAAGGTGATACGTTTCAGAAGATGCGTCAATTGGAGATTAGATTCCACCTACCTCTGTTACTGACCATGGATTTGTTAAGTAAACCTTTGTTCTTAGAAAAATAATCATCTGTCTGAGCTCCATATAGTTATATAGAATAGTAAAAATAACTGTAAGCTCCTTTGTATACATAATTGTAAGTAAATGACAAAGTCTTATAAGACAGCCCTTTAGCCCAGAGGCATTTGAAAGGATGCTCTGCATCACTAGCCATTAGAGAGATGCAGATCAAAACCACCATGAGGTACCACCTCACACCGGTCAGAATGGCCATCATAAACAGATCCACAAACAACAGGTGCTGGCGAGGCTGTGGAGAAAAGGGAACTCTAGTCCACTGTTGGTGGGAATGCAGACTGGTGCAGCCACTATGGAAAGCAGTGTGGAATTTCCTCAGAAAGCTGAAAATGGAACTGCCTTTTGATCCAGCGATTCCCCTGCTGGGACTATACCCTGAGAACACCAAAACGCCAATACAAAAGAACCTATGCACCCCAATGTTCATAGCAGCACAATTTACAATAGCCAAGTGTTGGAAGCAACCTAAATGCCCATCAGTAGATGATTGGATCAAAAAACAATGGTACATATACACAATGGAATACTATGCAGCAGAAAGAAAAAAAGAAGTACTAAACTTCGCAACAGCATGGATGGAACTGGAGAGCATCATGCTAAGCGAAATAAGCCAGGGGGTGAAAGACAAATACCATATGATCTCACCTATAAGCGGAACCTAACCAACAATGCAAAGAAGCAAGGCAAATATGACCAGCAACACTGAAAGGAAAAGAAATCAACAGAGACAAGAGGGAAGGGGGGGGGGGGGGGCAGGGAAAGGGAAGGGAAGGGGAAAGTCAAGGAACATATAGCAAGGACTCATGGACAAAACCAAAGGGGAAGAGCTGAGGGAGGGAAGGTGGGAGGGGGCAAGGGAAAGAGGGGGGGGAGGCAGAGACAAATGTATTTAAAAAGTAAATAAATTAATAAAAAAAAAATTAAGCAAAATAAAAAAAAAAAAAGACAGCCCTTTATATAAAATCTAATGAGTAAACATTAGAAAACCAAATTTCATTCTTGTTTCAGCAGCATATACTAAAAATTGGCACAATGCAGACAAGATTATCATGGCCCCTAAGCATGGATAGCATGCAAATTCATGAAGTATTCCACATTTTTTAAAAGGAAAGAAAAAAGAAAAATCAAATTTCCTGGCAACCTATTATGCATAATTGTCTAACCAAGTATTGGGTTGGCCAAATATCTGCTACATTTTTTCCATAAAATAAGACACATTTTTTTTTCATTTTCATCAATAACTTTATTGATTTGGATATTCTAAATAGGTCACCTATGTCCCGCCATTGGCTTCTTTCAGTGGAGAGAGGCCAGGGGTGCGGCTAAACATCTTCCAATGCATAACAGCCCCATAGCAAAGAATTATGTGGCCAAAATGTCAATAGTACCAAGAAACTTCACAAACCACTTTTGACACATTTGAGCAGCCACAGCACCTTCCCCATACACTGCACAAATCTTTTTTCTTTTTTTGCATTTCAGTTGTTTTTACCTTTCTTGACATAACAAAGCATAATACACTCAAAATGTTGCATATTTTCTTCCATCTTCACTATTAAAATGACTGCACAAAAATTCACCTATTTTGATGTTTTATTCTCAATTGCATGCTGATATGATAGCTGTCACTATACAATTTAACAAAATTGTTTCGAATGAAGTTAAAGACAACAACTTGCTAATAGAACCATCTTACAGAAAAAATGTAACAGACTTCTGGGCCAACCCAATACTATCCCATAAAAAAAAATGTATTATTCAACCTAATAGCTATAGAAACAGCTGGGAGTTATGTAGCAGACTTTCTTAGAGTAAAATAATTCTAAAAGCACTGCTCATTTTGATTGCCTATATTTAATCCAACAGCTCATTTTATGTCCCCGCCCCCATCTGCACACATACAATCTCAAAAACGTATTTATTAGTTGATTCATGCTTTTGCTCTGGCAATGCAAAAGAACTCTCATCAGCTCCTATCTTTTTCCAACCACTCAGCATCAAAATAATAATGATCGAATTATATCCAGAGCAGAAGAAACAATCAAGTATATAATGACCTCATGTGGCAAAGGACTACAACTACTGATTTAACTATGAAATAATAATGGGCTTAAACAACTTCTGTTATCCAATTTTTATTCTCAGATTGCTTTTTTAAATGGGCATTAAATACTGCCTAGAGATAAGGAAGAAAGAAAAATGACCCCAGAAATACAGAAAAAGTGGAGGTAAAAATAAGAGTCATTTATTCACTGAATAAAAGGAACCCCATGCTAGAGTCAAAACATTTAGTTCTTGTTTGTTTTTTGTGGTTTCTTGAAAAATCCCTTAGCCTCTCACATCTATAATACGGTGGTAATTTTATTCTACCACAGACTTTTTGGGCTAAAAAAGGATTATGCAAATGTTATATCTTGCATTTATGATAGTGTTATCCCATTTATGATATTTATGATTCTATAACTAAAACATTTTAAAGCTCATCATAAAAACTAAACCAAAAACTAAAGTATTTTTACCTAGTTTATCTTCCAATTATCACCTGTTAATTCTAGGGCAATGGACATACAGTACTTGTTTTATTCTAGGCATAGAATTAAACCTAAATTCATTCAAAGCGAAGCCATATTGCTAATGAATGTCTTTGAGGATAGTCCTTTTTTCTATCACAGTTTATATTAAATATTTTGTATTAGTTTCAGGTGAAGGGTAGCCTTAATTCTTTCTTTTAGTTTTTAATTTTTAAGTCAGGTTTATTCTATTACAGTTGTCTCAATTTTCCCCCTTTGCCCTCCTCCACCCATCCCACCCTGCCCGCCTCTACCACAGTCAATTTCCACTCTGTTGTTCACGTCCATGGGTCATTCCTACATGTTCTTTGTTTAGTCCCTTCTCCTTCTTTCCACCATTGTCCTCCTTCCCCATCCCCTCTGGTCACTTTCAGTCTGCTCCACACCTGTGGTTTATTTTGTTCATTAGTTTATTTTGTGGAATAGATTCTACTTATAGGTGAGATCATATGGTATTTGTCTTTCACCAACTGGCTTATTTCATTTAGCATAATATTCTCTAGTTCCATCCATGTTATCACAAAAGGTAGGAGTTCCTTCTTTCTTTTCTTTTTATACAGATTGATTTTATTTATTTATTTTTTAAATGTCAAAATCCATTATAAAATATTTAAAAATTTGGATCCATTATAAAGTCTCAGCATTAAAACAACATGACACCAGCACAGAAATAATCAAGTAGATCAATGAAATAAAATGAGCATTCTAGAAAGAAATGTATATATCTGTTTAACAATGTGATATATGATTAGGTTGATATTTCAAATCAATTGGGAAAATAAAGCTTATTCAACAAATAAGGTGCATGGACCCCTATTACTTGAAATAAAACAAATATAGAGCCTTATTGCACACATTATACAAACAATACTCTGGTGAGTTAAAAATCAATATGTAAAATCTGAGTTTTAGGAGAAAATACAAAATAATAATTTTCTTACCCTGAAGTAAAATATTCAAACCCAGAAGCTATAAAGTAAAATATTGACAATATGACTATATTAAACATTTAAGAGTATATAGTAATATACATATACAAAAAGTTAAAAGACAAGTAATAGAATAGGAAAGTCTTTGCAACACATCTAAAAAAGGGTTAATAGAATTTTTGGGCGGGGGGGAATTCTATAAACATTAATCAAAAAATGGATAAAGAATACAAAAAGGCACTTAAAGCTTTTAAAAAATAATAGAAAAGGCAAGAAATATAGAAAAACAGGTTTAGTTTCAACAAATAATAAAGGAACAATTAAAACACATCGTCACAGTCAAATTACTAAGTTTAAAAATATTGGTAATATCAAGTACTGGTGACTGTGAAAGGAACTGGGTATTCATAGATTCTTTTTCTTCATCTTCTTAAAGCAGACCCTTTAGCATATTTTGTAATGCTGGTTTGGTGGAGGTGCATTCTTTTAGCCTTCTTTTATCTGGGAAACTCCTTATTTCATCTTCCATTTTAATTGAGAGCCTTGCTGGGTAGAGCAGTCTTGGTTGCAGACCTTTGCTTTTCATTACTTGGAATATCTCTTGCCATTCCCTTCTGGCTTGTAGTGTTTCTGTTGAGAAGTCAGCTGCTAGCCATATTGGGGCTCCCTTATATTTTACTACCTCTTTCTCCCTTGTTGCCTTTAGGATTCTCTGTCTGTCTTTGCTATTTGTTGTTTTAATTATGATGTATCTTGGAGTGGGCCTCATTGGATTCTTTTTGAATGGGACCCTCTGTGCTTCCTGGACTTGTGTGACTTTTTCTCTCCTCCAATTAGGGAAGTTTTCCATCATTACTTTTTCAAACAGGTTCTCTATCCCTTGTTCCTCTTCTTCTCCTTCTGGTATCCCTATTATACAAATATTACTATGTTTCAGGTTGTCCTGCATTTTCCTAAATGCCTCTTCATTCTTTTGGAGTCTTTTTTCATTTTCTTGCTCTTTCTGGGAGCTTTTCTACCTTATTCTCCAGCTCGTTGATTTGTTCCTCTGCTTCATCTAGCCTGCTTTGGATTCCTTCTACTGTGTTCTTCAATTCAGAAACTGTATTCTTCATTTCCTCTTGTCTCTTATTGATAGTTTCTATGTCCTTTTTCATGCTGGTATAGTTTGCAGTAAGTTCCTCATAGTTTCCCTGTAGTTTTTTGTAATTCTCTCTGAGCTCACTGAGCTCATTGAGCTTCCTTAAAACTGTTGTTTTGAACACAATATCTGATAGTTTACTTGCCTCTATTTCATTTAGTTCTCTTTCTGGGGATTCCTTCTTTCCCTTTGACTGCAGGGTGTTTCTTTGTCTTCTCATTATTTGTGAGATTCTTCTTTTTTGCTTCTGCTTCTTAAATTGATCTGTCTTGATTTCCTGACTTTGTGGTGTGAACTTCTATGGTAGGAGGCTGCTGTTTTTTTCTTTCTGGATCTGCCTCTGATGATGTCAGATGTTGACCCTGTCTGACCTTAGACAGTCTGCTCCAGACTGCCAGGAATACATTGTCTGTATCTTTCTCCTTCAGCCGCCAATTTAGTCACTCTGCACTCACCAGGCCTGTTTAGACACCACAGGTTGGGGCAGAGTCCCTCCTGGGGGTGGGGTCACCAGGCCCTCTCATGCTGCTGCCACTCAAGGGAGTGGTCTGCCTGAGCCAGATGGCTGCTGCTGTATGGGGGAGGAGTCAGCACCAGGATTCTGCCAGCTACTCTCTACATTCTCTCCACAAAGCCTTCATCTCCAGTCTCTCAAGTGTCTCTAGACCTCTCTGCACCCCCTTTAGAAGGGGATCTATTTGTGACTGCCACCCTGTACTCAGCAGTCAGGCTTTAACACCACCAGTCCAGGGCCGAGTCCCTCCTGGGGACAGAGCTATTGGGTCCTCCTCACACTTACTGCTGAGGGCGGGTCATCTGCCTGAGCTTAATGGCTGCTGCCATATGGGGGATGAGTCAGCACCAGGATCCTGCTGACTACTCTCTCAGTTCTCTCCCCAAAGCCTCCTTCCCCAGTCTCTCCTCAGGCGTCCGTAGCCCACTCTGCCCCAGCCTTTGCTAGAGCCCAGGGTAAGTGGCTACAAATAAAAATTTATGTGTTGGTCCTTTAAACGGCTCTTTGCATCTCCAGCTGCCTGTCTCTGGCAGAGAGCAATGCTGCTGCCTTTCACATCTGGCTGTAATCTGTGTACTTTTTGGGCTCTGGTGCTGTAGGCTAGAGATCCCTGCTTATGGTTTAGACCCCATTCTTCTCAGGGGGATCCAACGGGCTGTTTCAATATCCTTCTGGTGTTGCCATCCATGGGCACTCCGCCCGCCTTCTCAAGTCTCTCCTGCACTCCTTACCCATTAGGTTGTACAAAGCTGATTCTTCTATCTATCTGAGGTTGTAAAGCTCCTCTCTCGCTATTGTTCAATTTATTCCAGGTGATATCTCTGCAATTTAGTTGTAATTCCAGATTGGTCCTGGGAGGAGGTCAGTGTGACTTCCACTCACTCCTCTGCTATCTTGGTTCTCTCCAATAGTCTTAATTCTTAAAATACTTCATATTTATCAATTTGAAATCTGACAAAACAGAACTGGGTGTGAATTTCTTGTGAAATCCCTGAACTGAGTCCAAATCTTCATTGACAGAAAATACCCTGAGAACATCAATGTCATATTAAGAATTATTAACTCATTAAACATACAATTATAAAGCTGCAGCCTCACCAGTCTAAAAAAAAATGTGAGGAAAAAGGGAGTAAAACTGAATCAAATTCAAATTACATACCTATCCCTCACTTAATGTCTGTAACTTATTCCTAAAATCACTGTCACAAAGTAGAAGGCTCTAAATGAAAACCTTATCAGTTAATTTTAATAGGGTACATTATATTCCAAGATCCCCCAAACATTATCAATTGACTACGAACAAGTTTATAGGCAATAAACAATATAGATTGTCCATAAAATATATTGTAAAGATTTACTGTACTTTCCAAGGAGGAAAATTTGATACTGGGTGGTGGTTTGATGGAAGAAAGGAATAAAGGAATCATTCTTTGGAAGGTAAATTCTTCTTTTTAAATCATACTCTCCCACCAGTGTTCCAGCATTTTGGATACTAATAGTTATTTTGCATTTAAACTGCATTTAAAATTAAATTATAACAGACACATTTTGGGAACTTCAAAACATAGAAATCACATCTGTACATAACAGACTACAGCCCCAGAAGATGCAACATCATCATTCCTAAACAATCTGATGTACGATTCAAATGAGTTTAAAATGATAATCTCTGTGAGGAAACTGTCAAGTAAATGAATATACTTTTGTCTAAGATGGTAATATTTGCAGTTTTTTTACTGCATACTTGTTTAATGTACTTTGGAGCAAGAAGTCTTTATACCCAAGGAGAAAAAAAAGATGATTGTCTGAAAAGTGATATAACTTTTCTAAAACTGTTATGGCAAAAAGTTATTGTTTTTTTTAACTTAACAGGTTTTATGGGGGAATTCTGTATTTAAACATTTAGGACATTACTGACCTCAATACTAATACATTTTGTAATTAATGGTAACATTCCAAGGCACTACACAAAATAAGGGGGGAAAAAAAGAATTATATCAAAGTTTCTTCCATTTTTCAATATTTTTCTAACTGAATATGAGAAAAATTCATTTTACATAAATTTTAAAAAAGAAAACTTACTAGGATAGCTTCAAAAAAAACCACACTGTACTACTAAACCTAGGTAGCTCATGCTCTAGGAAACACAAAATTACCCAACTTCAAAACTTAGTATATATAAAGCTACAGTAATCAAGACAGTATGGTACTGACAAAAGGATAAAGAGATCAGTGGAACAGAATAGAGCCTACAATTAGACCAGCATAGTCCACTGATGTTCAACTAAAGAGCAACGTTTATACAATGAAGCAGATAGTCTTTTTAAAAAATGGTGCTGGAACAAATGGTCATCTACATACAAAACGATGAATCTAGACACAGACCTTTCATCCTTCACAAAAAATTAACTCAAAATGGACTATAGGCCTAAACATAAAACACGTAATTATAAAACTTCTAGAAAATAACTTAGGACAAAACCTAGATGACCTTGGCTATGACTTTTTAGATACAACACAAGGAACAATCTATAAAAGAAATTGATCAGCTGGACTTTACTAAAATTAAAAATTTCTGCTCTGCAAAAAACAATGTCAGAAAAATGAGATAAACCACAGACTGGGAAAAAGTATTTGCAAAAGGCCCGTGTGATGATAAAGGACTGTTATCTAAAATAGTCAAAGAACTTTTAAAACTCAGTAAGAAAATGAACTTGATTAAAAAATGACAATGGACCTTAAGACACTTCACCAAAGATATAGATAGCAAATAAGCATATAAAAAGGTTGTAATTATATGTCATATGGAACTGAATATTAAAATGAGTTGCAACCACATGCCTCTTAAGCATAACAAATCCAAACCACTGATACCACCAAATATTGGTAAGGATGTGGACGAACAGGAACTCCCATTCATTGCTGGTAGGAAGGCAAAATGGAAAACCACTTTGGGAAAGTTTCTTAGAAACCTAAACATACTCTTAACATATGATCCAGCAATTGCACTCCTTGGTATTATCCAAATGAACTGAAAACTTATGTTCACACAAAAACTTGCACACAGGTGTATATAGTAGCTTTATTCCTAATTGTCAAAACTTGGAAGCAACCATTTGCCTTTCAGTAGCCAAGTGTATAAGCAGTGGTATATGTAGACAATGGGATATTATTCAGCACTAAAAAGAAATAAGCTATCAAGCCATGAAGACAGGGAAGAAACTAAATACAAATTCCTAAGTGAAAAAAGCCTATCTGTAAAGTCTACATACTAAATAATTCCAACTATATGACACTCTGGAAAAGGGAACTATGGAGAGTAAAAACCACTAAACTCAATACTCTTGTGACTATCCAATGGTACAGCTTTTATTTTGAGTCATGACAAATAGTAAACTTAAGTTTTTTTTCAATTCTAAAGATTTAAAAAGTCCTTAAATATTTTTAAAGGTTATCAAAACTCTCCAAATTATCTCCACTTAAAATAGAATTAACATAATTTATATAAACAATTGTCACATTTTTATATTCATATTTTTTAAAGTAGAATAAATTTTAATGTAAAAAGATAATCATTTCAATGAGTGTTAGTTCCATTGCAGGTAATGAGATTTATACTTATTTTTTATTTATTTTTGAAGATTTTTTTTTTTAATTTTTAGAGAGAAGGCAAGGAAGGAAAGGGAGAAACATTGATATGAGATAGAAACATCAATCAGTTGCCTCTCATACACACCCCTACCAGGGACACAACCTGCAACCCAGGCCTGTGCCGTGACTGGGACTCGAACTGGAGACCTTTCACTTTGTGGAACAATGCCCAACGAAGCCACACCAGTCAGGGCTATACTTATTTATTAAGCAAATGTTTTATTTAGTAAACAAGTGTATTTTGTTTACTGAACAAAAAAAACACATACAATATCATAAGACAGTTTTAAATACTCAGTGATTACAGATTTGAAGTGTACTTTCCCCTTCAAATATCAGTACATCTAGATTGTTTAACCCACTAAATTATGTCAAGAAACAAAAGATAACATTTTAAAATGTAAAATGATAGTTTCAAAGTAAAAGCGACTCTTCCCCTCATTTCAAAAACAGAATTTTCCTAAAATGTCAAGTAGAAAGAGTAAATACATAGAGAAAAAATACTTCACACTTTAAACAAACTTGAAAAAAATCTTTAATGATACACAGAACTAAAGTGAATCCATGCAGTTTTTAAAATTACAACTATTTTACCCTTTTTATTTCCTTATATTTGAAAATAATAGTTTTCAAGATATGTAACATATAAAGCAAGATCACTTTTATTAGTAATTTGCCTTAAAGGAGGGGAAACAAAACTTAACATGTAACCTTACAGAGAAGCAAAGCGAACTATGAAGTGAATAATAATCACAATGCTCTGAAAGTAGAAGTGTGTGACTTTAAAATAGCAGGCTGCCTAATTAATTCAGCGAGTATGGAAACCAGGATGAGGCAGGAAAATAACAGGTGGGACTTAAGCAGGCTAAAATGCTAAAAAGATAATGTACCTTGTCTTCATTTTCCCTTTGACTTCTTATGAAGTATAAGGTAATGAAAGACTATTCATTCCCCGTGCAGAGTCAATGAATAAAATGGAGAAGCTTATCCCTATGTTCCACTAACGTTTTACCTATAAAAATGAGAAGAAATGCAGGAAAACTATACTTCTACCCCAAATGATTTAAAGACAATCATAGTTTAAACCAATCTTTAAACTCTAACAATATTTCCTCGTAAAGGAATGGTCTGAAAAGGAAGAAAGCAGGTAGCTATTTTAAGCTCTATATAAATTAAATCATTTACTCACATAATAGCCTTCAGTTATCTTTTAAGTATAGAAAGACTTCCTTTTTAATCATCCAAAATCCCATGCAAAAAGATGAAGTCTCACCCACAGCACAGATGTATCCATTACAAACTGGGAACAAAGCCTAACTTCCTCCTCTAGAAATGCATTATTGACACTAATAAATATCAGTGAATCTACTAAATACTAAACATGGTCTTATTTTCCACATAAATTGAGGTGGAATGGAAGGCACTGGATCAAAAGTACTTAACACTTCTGAATTCTTTTTCTAGATATTCCTTAAATTCCACTTTCACCTTTTTGCACTAGACACATTACCATTTTCCATGTAACATTAAAGTTCCCAGTTAAGAAATCAAATTAAGAAACTGGTCAACAGTGAGATGAAACTGGTCAAGCACCAGGAAAAAAGGCAACCTGCTGAGGAGGATGGCAGAGGGAAAGAGAGAAGGAGCAAGGGTCCTTTATGATATAGTTTAGCCACTATGATGATTCTAGAGCCACATACCTCCAGATTTCTTGCCATGAGTGATAATTAAATGTCTTTTTTTGACTTGTTGCAATATTTAATTTTCCACTTGGTCATTCACAAAAATTCTCAATGGTAATTGGTGGCTGTTCCTGTAGTAGTATATTGCCCATAACTTTTTAAAAATTTCTTACTATTATATTACAGTTGTCTCAGTATTTCCCCCTTGGCCCTCCTCCACCCAGCCTACCCCATGTTCCCACAGTAAATCCCCACACTGTTGTCCATGTCCACAGGTCATTCCTACATGTTCCTTGCCTAGTCCCTTCCCCTTCTTTTCACCATTACCCCACCCCCCTCCCCTCTGGTCACTTTCAGTCTGTTCCATGTTTCTATGCCTCTGGGTCTATTTTGCTTATTAGTTTATTTTGTTCATTAGATTCCTCTTAAACAAGAAAGAAGAGAGAAGAGAATAGAGGAGAAAATTGGTCATAAAATTTTATATAGGATTCATAAAAAAAGTTTTTTTCTTGGAACAAATTTTTCTTGGGTTTTCTAAAGAGACATGAATGACTATGAAGTTACAAAGATACGCATGGCTGATGTATCTGGAATCATTTTGCTGCCTGTAGTCTTCAGCAAGATCACAAAGTGCTCAAAAATTCTTTGACCTGAATGGAGGAAAAATATATTAATATAATTATTTGACTAATTTCAGGTATCTAATACTCATCTTAATTTAAAAGTATATAATAATTGAAGACCCACAACTGTGTAAGTAACTGTAACAAAACCATAGCATTTACTTTCAAAAGATGTATTAATCTTTTAGTAGTAAAAGCTGAATGACCTAAAATGTAGTTATAGAAGTTATTAAATTTAGCCTAAGATTGATATAGTTTTATAACAGCCATAATCTCTAATTTTTCCATAATCTCTAATTTTTATAAAATTAGAGATTTATAAATCTTTCATTTTATAACCACTAATTTTATCTCTATAATACCATAGACCACTGACATGTGCAGCTTTAATGCTGATAACATTAATAATCACAATGATTTAATGGTTCAAACAACTCTAAAGGTTCAGACACATAACAGATTTGTATTTTTTCTTTTTTTGTAACACTCCTCCTTCCCCCCAGTTAATTTTCTGCAAGTTTTCTGAAGCACAAATTTAAATCTTGTATATACTCTGGAATGTTAATGGCTGAGGAAAGGTCATATAAGCAGTGACAATTTATCCAACTAACAACATCACAGCAAAAAGATTTTGTTCTCTACGTATTCTAGACTACACAGTCATTCTGCTGAACAGACGATTACTGTCGTGTACAAAATAAAAAAAAAAAACACACAAAAAAACAAATACCTAAAAAAGAAAGCCAACTGCTAACATTAGTAAAGAAAATAAAACTAGGTAATACATAAATGATGACTCTTAACATCAAAAATGATGTTTAGCCAGAAAACAAATGTTAAGATAAAATTTTAAAAAGAGGTTTTATAGCTTCATTCAGTTAAAATGACGGTTGGCTGTTGGTACTGCAATAGCTGACTTAATTTATTTTAATAGTATCATTTAAGTGAATTCTATCTTATATTTTTAACATCATTTATTGCAAAAAAGAGGTCACCTGAATTGTCCAGAAATATCCCTTATAAATGTAAAGTACCTACTATAGAAAACATTTTATGACAGGAAAAAAGGAAAATCAAACTTATCTCAAAACTAAACTAGCAAAAAAAGTGTGACTTCTTTAGATCTTAGGTCACTAAGTTAATTATATGAATATAAGGATATTTGTTATATAATTCCCATTACTATTCTCTCTCAAGCATTGATCAATAGGTTCTCTCCCAATCCCTTTATCAATACAGTCACTACTCACTTAATAGAATATCCCAAATACCTGGGGGATAGATGAACTCTGATTAAGACAATGACTCAATGATTAGATAATTACAATTCATCATTGACAAGGTCCCAAATAAATTTCAAAACTAAAAATCCTTTTATTTCAAGACTTCAGCTAATATAAACATGGATGAGATCCATATACTACAATTTCAAATATCCTCCGTAACAAATTTAGTTGAAAAAAATAATTAGTTTATTTTTAAAATGTCTAAAGATTGGTGGTATAGGGAAGAGAGAAAGAAGGGGAAAAAGCAGAGAAGCAGGTGAGCAAGAACTTTTGTGATATTCCTGTATCACAGAAGAAGGAAGTAAAGAATTAAGAAGCTCCTTATTTTAGCTAAAGTCACAAAGCTAGAGTTTCAAGTTAGGATTCAATTCTAAACAGTCTAAATCCCTACTAAATTCTTAACTGTTCCTTAATGTAACTTTACGTAATCTTTTCTGTTAGAAATTGTTCTCTCAGAAGTTACAACACTTATAGGCAAAACAAATGTTATTTTATAGTCTTTATATAAAACTACCTTTTCAACCAGACTGTCATGTTTGTCTTTAAAGTCTTCATTAACATCCAGTGTTAAGATAGGCACTTCTTGTAGATAATCAAAGTTGGTTCTGTTTAAACAGAGATGAACAAAATAATTAGAAAAAGCAATAAATATGAGAAACACTAAAAACTCATTATATCACTGCAAAATCAAAATGTCAATCACTATTACTCTGCAAGTACTTCATCTGACAGCCTTCATTCTCACCTAGATTTACTTACACATCTAAAAATCTCAAGTATAAAATATATAAAGCTAGACATTGTGACATGTAATATTCCTCAAAAATAAAAACCATACCATTAAGTAGGAGGAATGTTTGCAGTTTAAAGCTGAAAAAACTAAAGTTCAAGGACGTCACTCTGAGACTCAAGGGACTGTCCAAGGTCGCACACAAGTGAGACTGGCTTTTAACCAAAAACTGACTAGTGACAAAGTCCATACTCTTAGCAGCTATGCTATACTACCTCCTAAGTCTTGATCTAAGAAACAACTTTGAAATACTATCTGAAAAAGAAGCACCTAAATAATATACATAGATATATTCCCTACTTTATTACTTAGTGTGAAATTCCGTATGTTATGCTATCAATAACACTGGGGGAGATTAGCTATAATCTTTAAGAAAAATGGATCTCATTGAAATAAAAAGAATCAAAATCCACACCTAATTCTGGGAGAACCTGCAATACTAGTAAATAAATTGACTAAAAGTAAAAAATTGTACATACTATACATTTTTATTTTGATAATGGTATTAAAAATGAGTAGTAAATAAGAAGTCTTACTTTAGTGTTCTATGCAGGAGCCAGCTTTCATGTTTATAGTGAAGCTTTTCTAAATATTCAAGAGGAATGCCTTGCTCTTCATTTCTTCCCCGCAAATATATCCTGCTCAAGCATTTCTAAAAGTAAGCAATAAGGTGGGGGGACAATTATTCTTGTCTGATGCCATTAAAATTTTCTTCTCTAAGTGTCTCTTTAGTCATGTAAGCCAAAATCTCTATTTTTTCTAGAAAGTTTAAATAGTTTCCTCCCCCCCCACTGCCCCGCCGGTTGTTTTCACACCATTTGCTAGCTCTAAACAATGCAGTACTTTCAAAACTAAGTCTACAAATTTCTGACATCCATATTAGAAATACACTGTCTAAAAAAGGTTTGGTAAAAATAAAAAAAGTTCAACATACAACTGCTTGTGCTTCAACATACAACACACAACATACATTGTGCTTCTATTTTAAATTCTCTTTTCAAATAATTAAATGATCCTCTAATCAAAATATATTTAAAAACTTAATGAAATAAAATAGTTTTGTATTAGACTTTAAGATACTGACTACAAATATTTCTAACAATGAAATTATTAGTATTCTTTACATTCTTCTTTATTTGCATTTACTATTTTCATAATTAAAAATTCTTCTCTAAAATAAAAGCAAATTTCAAAATTATTATTGTTAAATTCTAATTTACTTGATACTAGAAGAAAAAAATCACTTGAGCTCTGAAATCTGGTTTCTTTGAAAATTCAGCTTCAACATTGTACAGAAAGAATTACAGCATTCTTTCAGGCTAGAAGTCATAACATTTCCATTTATCAGAACCTACTTGTCAGGGAATAGAAATAAAAAACAGAGAAAAATGGGAAAGCAAGTGCCAAAACTAGTAATTTCTTAACAAATGTGAGCTCTCATTTAGGTTAGTTTTATGAAAGGCGTACACTTGGTCTTTCTGGATTCATTACATAATTGCATATCTAAACAATAGCTGTGCTATGACCTATTATGAAAAGGCCATTTTCAAGTAAGCTCCCTTAACTCAAAATGGTAAGGGTCCACTAAGCCTTTTCTCAACTGTAGCTGCTACTATCCACCCATTCCAAAACAAAACCGTGAAAGATATCCTCCATCAACTTTGCCATTCATTCAGCAAATATTTACTGAAATCTTACTATGTACTCAAGCCTTATTCTAGGCACTAGAAATTCAACAGTAATTAAAATACCCAAAGTCCCACCTGATGAAGCCTTTATTTTGGGAGCTGCTTGAGCAAGTTTCTTACTCTAGATGTGATCTAGATATCTTAATCTAGATGCCTGTTACTGACCCTGCAAAAGTTAAAAAGTAATAAATAACAGAACTGAGGAAGAACAAAGAAGGACCTAAAAGAGAAACCTGCTAAATCTGGGCTTCCAATTTGCTGAGAAAATAGAATGCTTCTATCTATACAATTCTGAGTTTCTAATTCGTAAATAGGAAGCTAGAGGGTGGGGAGTGAAGTTCAACTAAATTGCCTTCACTGGATAACACTGAAAGGATTTCTAAATATTACTTTAAATTTTTCAAAGGCACAAATATTTGTCTTACCTCTGGAGTGGCTCGAAGATAAATGATTCCATCCAGTTCAAGGCTTTGGCCAAACTGGTTATTTATCCAGTCATGCCAGTCTTGATAAATTGTCCACTCTGTTTCATTCATACAATCAGACTCATATAAATTAGATGCAAAAATATACCTGAAAGAGAGCCTATATCAACATACAAATCCTTTCTGAAAAGCACAGAGAAATAGAAAGGAGAAAACCGATCTACTAAATGGACATGGAATCTTCTCTGAAAACCTGTGTTAAATAATGCTTTGGATAGCAGAAAAAACAATACAGTATCACCAACCACAGGAAATTATGTTCTTGGCCAGTGGTTCTCAAAAATGTGGTGTAAGGACCCCTGGTAGAGCCCAAGATTCTTCAGGGGTTCTGTGAGAGGCCAGGTTACTTTATATACTATACTTAAAAAAAAAATATATATATATATATATTCAACCGATTGCATATAGAAGCATTATTGAGAATCCAGCTGTCTGCTGTTAAATCAAATATTAAAGAGATTCACAATAACGTGAAATGCTGCTCTTCTAATTTTTTTCTTTTGAAAAATGTAATTTTCACTAGTATGTTATTTATGTTTACATGTAATGGGTTTAATGCTAATTATAATTTTTTCTGTTTTTCAATCTTAATTTATAATAAAATAAATATTAATAAAACCAAGTCCTTTGGGCTCCTCAATAATTATTAAGAATGAAAAGGGGTCCTGTGAACCTCTGTTCTGAGCTAACTCTAGAGGTTAAAAAAAAATCCCTGCATAAACAGGGTAATTCCAAGATCACCTTAGAGATTTTCTAGTCTCTGCTCCAGGTGAGTCTAGAATATAGATTCAGATTTAATCAGAGCATATGATAATTTTAAGAGAGCTGGAGAAAAAAATATTTCTCTGCAAATTTGAATGAGACGGCCACCATATTCCCTATAGTTCCCATGGAATCTAGAAATTATAAATGCTAGAACTTCCCTAATACCATTAATACCAAGCTGCTAAAAGGATTAAATGTCATTTCCCATCTCAAACTCCCAATTCAGTTTCTCTTATTATATGATTCTGATCATATGATTATATGATTCCCAGAAAACAGAAAAATTCCAGTCCTAAGCCAAGGCTCCAATCTTATAAGTACAAGTCACTTATATATACCTGTCACTATATACAGATCGTTCAAAAAATAATACAGGTTTCTCCGCATCTTTGAGCTTGCCATTGAGAGAGGCAAGCTGAGCTCGTATTCGACTGAGGCAGGCGTATGACTGGAAGGTAAAAGACCATCGCTCTGGTTTCTCATACATCATCTGAAGGACATTCCCACCACTTTTCTGAGATGTTGTCAATTCCTATTTTGAATTTGAAAAAAGAAAAAAAAAGTTAATAGTCAATTAACTTAAATTTTTTTAAAAGCTCAAATAGGGAAGTTGGATAAATAAATACATCACAATTAGCAAAATAACAGTAAATCCTCTTTTTCCTTCTCTTTTCCACTGTATTTTTGTTACCTGAGGCCTGGAAGAACTTGAAAACCTACTTTAAGCATCAATTTCTTAGATCTTTTAAACAAGAAGTTACAAACAGCCTATGGCAGAAATTATTTGTCTGGCCCAAATGGGACTCAAAAAATATAAATTTGTTGTCAATATCTAAAAAGCTAGATAACTTAACATACTATATCTGAATATATATCTTCTTTTTAAAAATGGAAAAACCAAGCAATACTGTGGCTATATTTCCTTTTGGTAAATATCAGCTACAGCAAGTTACACGTGCTTCCATGGACACATGCTTTTCAGTTCATACACACCACCATCCTCTGTTGAGACTCACAAAAGGCCTGATTTATTTGTTTAGATACCTGGCCCCTTTCAGTATTTGAATCTGTGACCTCAATCTTCTAATAACACAGAATAGATCCCCACCAAAATTTGATTCAATAATTATAATGTCAGAATCAGTATTTTCAGTGTTATGAGAAAAAAATAAATGCAAAATAAAAAAAATCTAGTAAACACTCTATAATCTTATATATGAATTGGAAATAGCATCAAGAAATCATGGTTATTTTTCATTTTTTATCAATTATTTTCCTTTCTATAAAATAGTTTCCTAGCTCTGTCAACCAAAAGGCCTACAGATATAAATATAACATGACAACCCTGTAGAAATAACCAGAACTGCCACCCAGATTATAATCTCTAAATACCATTTTCCACTGAATTAGGGTCACCATATCTGTTTCCAGGTCTGGGGTAGGAAATGTACAAAATAAACTTAACACACTTTATTTCAGAAAACAAAGAAACTATCAATCATTACTGAGGCTGAGCCAAGGGCAAATGAGCCAATAGAAGGCGCTTCCAGTGGTTAAAAAGTAGGGCACAAAAGGAATAATAAATAAGAAGCAACAATCCATAAGTTCATAATACTAAAGAAAACCGGAAAGCAAACTCTCCAGTCACCTTTGAAGGTTGCTAGGGCACCAATTAATTATTCTGGAAGTGTGTGTGTATACCCAGGCATTTTACTCTGGCCATTTCTGTGTAAATGCTATTTTGGGTTAATGAAGTAATGAATGAAGATAAGGTCTTCTTTGCTGAAGAATCCCAAGTAATAAATTCAGAAGACTTGGGAATTAAAATATTATCTTTTGCAACATCTAATGATATTGGATTGGGTCAACAATTAGCAATAGATGCTAAAATAATTAGAGAAAAGCTGATCGAAAATTTTATAATATATAAATTAAGCTGAACATATTGATCAATTTTAACATCACAAAAGACATCTTCTGGATGAAATTGAAAAAAATATACATTACCACCTAAATCGTACAAAAAAAGAACTAAATTTAATCAGGCCTGTAAAGATCTAACTATAAATTTACAGGAAATACAGAGAATTGAGAAATATGTTAAATTATACCAGAGACACACTCAGCCAAAACCAGAATAAGGGAAATTGTATAAGGACAAATGAATCAGTTTCTTCAACTTAAATTGCAAAGAAAAAAAGAGGAAGAGAAAACAGTAAGTTAAAATTTAAAAGAAAAGTTACCCAAATATAACTTGTGAATCTTGTTTGATTCTTATAAACAAACAAAAAAATTATGAGATAATAGGGAAATAAGAACACAGACTGGATGTGATGATACAAAAGATGCTAGTTTTAAATAATCTTTATTTCTAGAGTTCTTTTTATTGAGCCTTTAATTTCTACAGATGAAGTAATTTATTATCTATAATAGAGGTTTTCAAAGTATAGTAGGGGAACCCCTTGGGTAGGGGTGTCCAACCTGTAGCCCACGAGCTGCATGCAGCCCAGGGTGGCTGTGAATGTGGCCCAAAATAAGATCGTAAATGTACTTAAAACATTATGAAACTTTTTTTGTGATTATGTGTTGCACTGTATTTAATGTGTGGCCCAAGACGACTCTTCTTCCAGTGTGGCGCAGAGACACCAAAAGGTCGCATATCCTTGCCCTAGGGAGTCCCTGAGATCCTGGCAGGGAGTCTGCAAGGTAAAACAACTATTTTATAATAAATAAAGCTTTTTCCATTCCTGTTCTCACATGAATGCACAGTTGTTTTCCAGAAACTACATGACACGTATATTCCCAACAGTTCAAATGCAAAAGTATAACCATCGGTATTGAGCTAATTATTGATGAGAAAGCAGGAGCAAAGGGAATTAGACATTGAGTTTAATAAACTGGGGAAAATAGCCTGCTTGCTAGGCCAAGAAGCTACAGCTTCACACCCCAGGGGATTACAGCATTTATCTGCCAAGGGCATTAACACTCCTCCTTTCCCCATTCCAGAATAGGATTGTTGAGAGGCACAGAGGGAGATGCTGGACCAAAGAGGCTTGTCAGTCTAGCCTGGGGAAAGGGATTGGTTGGGAAGTAGACCCATCCAAAGTCCATGAAAGTTTGGAAAGTTGATTGGTTCTTTGGAAAAAGCACCCAGTCCATCCCACATCCAAATTAGTAAAATCCCAGGGCAACAGAGCAGCTCTCTGGCTCAGAAACCCATGCTTGCCTGGTGGGTTCACGTTTTCTCTTCATAGCAATGTAGCCTAAGCAGCCATACTGACTCCGCCTCTGGAGCAGCTGTGAACAAGCTAAGCTACCCAGATGGCAACTGAGACAGCATAGGAGTCACCTGTGGGCTCCAAAAGGACGAAGCTAGCATGTACACTCTCTTTGTTTCTCTCGCTTGTGACCAACACTCATCCCATGCATGTGCATGGCCTCTCTCCATAGCCATGTGGCCCTCGCAGCCCCACATAGAGGCTCCAGGGGGGAGCCTGAATACCACAGCACAGCAATGGGCTGCAGCTGGAAACACATGCTAAGGTAGCCAGACGCTGAACTGAACTCTAATTTAAAATGGAACAGAAACTCTGGACACTAGCTTTTGCTTTGGTCTGAGGACAAGATTGGACCTTTTCCGTGACAAGACAGATGGAGGTGGGGCACTGAGAAGTCAGGTGAGGAACCCCCTTAATTTTACATCAATAAAGTTTCCCATGGGCCCTGGCTGGTGTGGCTCAGTTGGTTGGAGCATCGTCCAGGAACCTAAACATTTCAGGTTCAGTTCCTGGACAGGGCACATTCCCAGCTTGTGCGTTTGAACCTGGTCCAGGCGCAGACGGGAAGCAACCAATCAATGCTTCTCTCATGCATCAACGTTTCTCTCTCTCCCTTCCGCTCTCTCTAAAAAAGCAATAAAAAAATGTCCTCAGGTGAGGATTAAAAAAACATTAAAGTTTACCACAAACCCTTGCATCCTCCTGTGTAGGTCTCAGGAAATTCTTTTCCTTGCCATACCACAAGAACTTGTTTTCCACTGATAACAGAGGCAGGTATGAGAATTCAGCTTTTACTATTTAGTCAAACTTTAATATTTGTACAATATAAAATAATGTTTTTTCACTAAATGTTTTGGTTTTGGAAAGCAGTCATTTTTCATAAAAATGTTATTTATGTTAACATGCAATAGACTTATTATTGTGATTTTTAATGAATTACCTGAAAAAATTTAAAGTTTCAAGTTAAATTTCTAATGTAGTAAATATTGATAGATCTGACATAAGAGCTCTTTGGTTCCTCAATAATCATAGAAAATATATATGAGTTGTTTAGTTAAGTAAATTTACCCTTTAAATGATGCTATCTTGTGTCTTAAAATAATTAAGAACTCACAAAATTCATCTGTTCAATAAGAAGCAGTTTCCCTCCTAAAAACTTCACATATATAGTATGTTTTAAATATCTTTATTACATAAATATAATGTAGTTACATATTATGATAAACCTAAATGATTAATTTACAAAAATACCCAATTAAATCCCTAATTTAAAGTATTGGGTTGGCCAAAAAGTCTGTTTAGATTTTTCTGTAAAATAAAAAACACATTTTTCATTTTCACCAATAACTTTATTGATTTGGATAGTTTGAGTTGTCAGCTATCTTCCAGTGGTATAACATAAATCGTTCCAACTTAATGTCTCAATTTGATCGCTATCACTTAAACTCATCTACCTGAATATGGAGCATCATCCAGTGAGAAATTTTCAGAACAAAACTTCACAAACTACTTGGACACATTCGATCAGTCACAGTACTTTCTCCATACACTGCATAAATCTTTTTTTTGTGTTTCAGCTGCATTTTTACCTTGCTTGAAATAATAAAATATAATATGCCATAAATGTTGCATATTTTTTCCATCTTCAGCAATTTTCATAATTTTTTAAAAATGCAGGATGATATGATAATTGCCACAATACAATCTAACAAAATTGTTTCAAATGAAGTTAAAGACAACTAAGTACTACTAGAGCCATCTTATGGGGGAAAAAACAAACTTTTTTGGCCATTCTAGTATGATAAGTTGGAACCTAATTAATACAATCAGTGTATTTTTAAAATATGTATTAAGGTTATTTCAAACTTAACATTCTCTGGAGAAAATAAAATGAGCCAACTTCTTGACAAGAGATTTAAATGGTAATTTATATTAATCATCTTCCCTGTGGATGAGAAAAAAGGCAAATGCAGATTGGAACAGTTAACTGAAATGAACAAGAGGCTAACATGATTAGCTATATTCAGAAAAGAAGTGAACCAAGATCCTGAAGAATATGTATATACAGACTTGTTCACCAATTATGTAAGTACTAGAATGAGGATCAACTAAAGGTAGAAAAAGTAAGATTTAGGTCATAGCTCAAAGAGTACAAATAAATTCATGTTGATAAATGTAAATGTACTCTTGATATAACCCTAAACTTTTGAAAAAAAGGAATCACACATTTCCACGTAATATCTCTGTGATGATA